TGAGACAGGTTCTCCACCTCTCATCCAGTCTGGGGATGCAGTGGTGCAATCATAACTCACTGCAGCCTCAAACTCCTGGGCTCAAGCAATCTTCCCACCACAGCCTCCTCAGCGGCTGGGATTATAGGTGCACACCACCATGCCCAGCTAAATTTTTAATTTTTTTGTAGAGACAGGGTCTTGCTATGTTGTCCTGGCTGGTTTCAAAGTCCTGGGCTCAAGTGATCATCCCACCTTGGCATCCCAAAGTGCTGAGATTACAGGTGTGAATCATTGAGTCTGGGCCTCTTTATCACTCTAATATAAATTTGTATATTGTTCACATGCTGAAGTAATATTTTGAAGATATGGGGTTAAATGTAATATATTATTAAAGTTAATTTCACCTTTTTTTAAAATGTGTCTACTAGAAGATTTCTTTTTTTTTTTTTTTTTGAGACAAGTTCTTGCTCTGTAGCCCAGGCTGGAGTGCAGTGGTGCTATTACTAGATGATTTTAAATAACATATATGGTTCACATTATATAATATGGTGATGCCTTAGCTCCTTTGCTTCTCGTTTGCTCAGGGAAGCAAAGGGAGATAAAGCAAATTCCAAAATTGCAGTAGGTTAGCACCTAATAAGTTAGTTTCTCTTTACCATAAAATCTAAGCAGAAGCACCGCAGGGCAGATGTGGCAGCTCCACTCCAGTGTCAGGGTGCCAGGGTCTCTCTTTACTGTGCCTACACCATTCTCAACACATGGCTTCCACCTTGAGGATTAAGATGACTGCTCTAGTTTCTATATCCATTTACATCCAGTGAAAAGGAAAGAAGGGGGTGTCAACTCCATTAGGGCAGAGTCCAGAAGCACATATTACTTCTGCTTGCATCTCATTGGCCAGAATCTGATTATCTGAACACACCTGGCTGCAAAGGAGCCTGGGAAATGTAGTCCTAAATCAGGTGGCCATGCTCCAGCTAACACTTGGGGATTTTATCATTAAAGGAATAAAGGGAGAATGGCTACTGGGGCATAACCAGCAGTCTCTGCTACACTCAGAGGAGGGCTATTACCCAAGGCTCATATCTACTACAGGTCCAAGGAGTGGCTGGCACCACTAACAGCAGAAGGATAAAGCATATAATCTCCAAGAAAAGCCTGTTCCTTTTAAAGAGATGTCTTCATTTATTTATTTATTTTTATGTTTATGTTTTGAGACAGAGTCTTGCTCTGTTGCCCAGACTGGAGTGCAGTAGTGTGAGCTCAGCTCACTGCAACCTCTGCCTCCTGGGTTCAGGTGATTCTCCTTGCCTTAGCCTCCTGAGTAACTGGGATTACAGGCACCTGCCACCATGCCTGGCTAATTTTTGTATTTTTAGTAGAGACAGTCTGGGCTGGCATGGTAGCTCACACCTGTAATCCCAGCACTTTGGGAGTCCAAGGCGGGTGGATCACCTGAGGTCAGGGATTCCAGACCAGCCTGGGCAACATGGTGAAACCCTGTCTCTACTAAAAACACAAAAATTAGCCAGGTGTGGTGGTGGCTTGAGCCTGTAGCCCTAGCTACTTGGGAGGTTGAAGCAGATGAATCGCTTGAATCTGGGAGGCAGACATTGCAGTGAGCCGAGCCAAGATCACACCACTGCACTCCAGCCTGGGCAACAGAGCGAGATTCTCTCTCAAAAAAAAAAAAAAGGCCAGACGTGGTGGCTCACACCTGTAATCCCAGCACTTGGGGAGGCCGAGGTGGATGGATCACTTGAGGTCAGGAGTTGGAGACCACCCTGGCCAACAGGGTAAAACCCTGTCTCTACTAAAAATACAAAATTAGCCAAGCATGGTGGCTCATGCCTGTAGTCCCAGATACTCGGGAGGTCTCAGCTACTCGGGAGGCTGAGGCAAGAGAATCACTTAACCTGGGAGGCCGAGTTTGCAGTGAGCCGAGATTACAACACTGCACTCCAGCCTGGGTGACAGAGCAAGACTCCATCTCAAGAAAACAAATAAATAAATAGGCCGGACATAGTAGCTCGAACCTGTGATCCCAGAACTTTGGAAGGCCGAGGTGGGAGGATTACCTGAGGTAAGGAGTTGGAGACCAGCCTGGCCAACATGGTGAAATTCCATCTCTATTAAAAATACAAAAATTAGCCGGGTGTGGTGGTGCATGCCTGCAATCCCAGCTACTCATGAGGCTGAGGCAGGAGAATCACTTGAACTCGAGGGGCGAAGGTTGCAGGGACCAGAGATCGCACCACTGTACTTCAGCCTAGGCAACAGAGTGAAACTTCATCTCAAAAAATAATAAAATAAAATCAAGTAAAAATAAATAAATAAAAATAAATGAATATATAAAGACAGCCTAAGTCCCAGCATATTTTCAGATGTTCCTTGATCAGAACGATTTTAAGAGAGGGAAGAAAAAGGACAGTTTAACAAGAAAGAGAAAGAAGGAGAATGCGGACGGGTGCATGGCTGGGAAGATTGTTTGAGTTGTAAGCTCTCTTGCTGGGACCACACCTGTAATTCCAGTATTTTGGACATTTATACTCAAGGTCTTCATAGTCATGTGATATAGAAACAATGGCTCCAACCATTTGTTAAGTAGTTCTGTTTATTACACTCCTGCTTGCCCACCTTCTTTCCCTCCACTTTTGACCTTCCCCACCTCTATCAGGCGCCCAGGCCAGGCACAGAAGTGAACCCAAGAGACCTACGAGACCTGTACTTAAAGAAGTGGTGTGTCTGGGGAGTCAGATAACAGCCAAGGACAATTATCCAGACAGCCACAGTGGGCAAAGGCTGAGGCAGACACGCTGGACCTAGCTCTGACTTTTTCTTTGACCCAGATATTCTCAACAAAAAGATATTCAAAAGTAAAGTTGGTCTCCACGAAGACAGGACCTAGCTCTGTCGTGTCCACCAATGTGTTCCTGTTGCCTGGCACAGAACAAGAGTTTGGTAAGCGTTTTGCTGAACAGATGAATGAAGATGATTGGGCTTTCTCTGGAGTCAGATTCAGAGTTCAGCTGTGAGGAGAGGCTACTGGGAGGTTATGTGGGTTTTGAAGTTGGGGCTCCACAGCACCCTCCCACCTACCCCTCCTTTTCCAATCCCATCCTCCCAGGCTCTTTCTCTCGGTGACGGCTGGTCACTCAAGCCCAGGGTAGGCTGCTGTAGGGGAACTGGATGCGGTGGGCAGAGAGGTGGGGCAAGTGTGGGCCGGCCCTCCCTCAGAACCCGCTGCCCTGGCAGACTCACCTTTGCTCTTGGACAAGGCTTCCCTGGCGGTCACCTCCTCCACGATGCTCCTTCTCTCTCAGCAAGGGTCAGATAAGGAGACGGCAATCAGCCCTAGGAGAAGGCCTGGCCGATAGAGGGGCCCAAACCCCGGACGTCCCCCCTCCTCCCATACATCTTGGTGTCAAACACATTTTATTTCCTCACGTCTGGGGACCCGGGAGCTTACCCTCCAGGATTACTTCCTCCTCCGGTTTGTTTTCCAGCTGGAGACTCCAGGAGCCCCTCAGCAGGGGGGCGGCTCCTCCACTGTGGCCCACAGGCTTCAAAGGGCCCAGAGTGGAATGCCGCAGCCAGGGAGGCTGCTGGCCTGGAAGGAGGGTTGGAGGCATCGCAAGCCCAAGATACGGAGAGGGGTGGCCTTGCGGGGGCTCGGGCTGGGTACCCACTCATTTTCAAGCTGCCCCCCCATCCGCTGAAGGACCCTATCTATGGGCAGAAGGTGGCTTCAAAGGTCAGCGATGGGGGACTCCCTACCACCCCCTCCCCCAGGGCTTAGAGGGGGCCAGGAAGTGCCCCCACCATGATGGATTAGGTGCCTAAGAGCCATGTCGAGCTTATGGACGGGAGACCTACTCTTTTTTCATGGGGCTCAGATTTCACGATTTGGGGGGGGGTGAAATAATTAGTAATTTGTGATTAAGCCTTTTCATGGATATTTTGTTTCTTTGTTCTGTGATGTTGCCCGGAGCCATTTAAAAAATGACTTAATGACAAAGAAAAAATAATTGCTCTTTGTAACTAATGACTGTGTCAGAACTTGGAAATCACCAAAGCCTCGGAAAGTAGAAACCGAGAAGGGGGTGAGGGTTCCACTCTCCAAGGGTTCAGATCAGCAATCGTAAAGTGGCCCGGGATCCTCTTGCACCTGGACAGCCCCCTGCCCTTCCCTGGAGCCAGCAGCTAGCACCTGCAGGCTCAGCCTGGGGGCTTCTGGGCCTAGGGTCCCTTAGGCACCTTTGCCCCTGGGCTGAGAGGAATGGTCAGAATGCCCAAGGCCAGCCTAAACTGCCCCAGCTCAGCCTCACCTTGGAGTTGCTTCCTCCTTCATAAAATCCCCCTGGAAAGACATTTCTCCCACTCTGGTGGAGGAGCAAGGGGTAATTATGTCCTTTCTTCTCCACTCCTGCAGCTTCCTATAGAGCTCCAGAGTTGCCCTGGGATTCTGGATTCTCCTGGGTCTTTACTTTTTTTTTTAGTATTTAATTGTCAAAGATTGAAGCCCAGGCGAGGTGGCTTACACCTGTAATCCCAGCACTTTGGAAGGCCGAGGTGGGCGGATCATGAGGTCAGGAGTTCAAGACCAGCCTGGCCAACATGGTGAAACCCCATCTCTACTAAAAATACAAAAATTAGCTGGGCATGGTGGCAGGTGCCTATAATCCCAGCTACTCGGGAGGCTGAGGCAGAAGAATCGCTTGAACCCAGGAAGGAGAAGTTGTAGTGAGCCAAGATGATATCACTGCACTCCAATCTGGGCGACAGAGCAAGATTCCATCTCAAAAAAAAAAAAGAAAAAAAAATAAGATTGAGCATATTCAAGGGTGCGATGTGAGGATTTGACATACTCACCTGAATCTTTACAGCTCTTGCTCCCCACCTAGACTGAGCGCTCCCTTTTGGGGGCAGGAAAATGGCCCTCTCCCTCCCGATGCTCCGGCCCTGCATCTGCTCTTGTAACCTACCTTGGGCTGGGGCCCTTCAGACCTCTGGGCCATCTGAGGCAGGGATCAGGCAGGGCCCAAGCCCCAAGGACTCAGGGCAGCCCACCACCTCCTACCGCCCCCAGCTGCCTCCGGCAGCCTCTGGGGAATGGGCCGGGAGATGGGGAATTGCTCACGCAGCAGATTCCACTCCTGTTCCCTTCTTGGGCCCTCGCTCCGATCTCTCCCAAGGGGAAATGCTAGGGGGGAGAAAACCGTTAACTTGTGCCTTCTATTTGGTTTTCCTCTGGTTATTGTTTAAAATGCAGAGATTATGAGGTCAAACTCTCCCAGCCAATATTTTTCTAATGAAAAATGTAGTAAGGCACGACTGAGTAATCTAATCTATAAGTTAAGCGTTCCACACAGCAGCGATTTTCACCGACAGAACTTCAATAAATCTTGTTCAGAGAAAAATGATATGAGGCTGATGTTCTATTTTTGTCAATTTGAATGGACTCCCCTGCTCCCCCCCAGTCCTCAGAAACACTGCACTGCACCCAGCCAATCTTCTTCCCTCCCCCAGCGCAGGCTGGATGAAAGTGGGGGACCAGAATGATAGCATGGGAAGCCTGAGTTCCGACCCAGCTTGGCTCAGAGGGTCCGGGGCCAGAGGCCTCTGCTTCAGCCCACTTGGTCCCTGGGGCTCTTCTCTTGGTGAGGGGCTAGGCAAAGGGGTCAGGGATCTTGAAGGAAAAGGCAGCTAGTGGTCTAGGAGAATGGTGCCAACTTCCCTAACCATGGGGTCAGGGCTGCCTAGGCAGGCATATCTCCCCAGCTGTCCCAAGGCTGAGCAAAGAACAAACAGCAAGCCTCGAACCTTCCCTTGAGCCCCAACAAGCCATTGATAGATTTGGCAAGAGAGGCCTCACCTCAGGAAGAACTGGTTAAATCCATCCTCAAAGCTGCTGTTCCCCTTCGCCTGACTTGAACATGGAGACAGGCCAGAATGTAGGCGTAAACTCACTCCTAACAAAGGGTGTGTGTGTGTATGTATGTGCGTGTGCATGTAAGTGTGTATGTGTGTGTGCATGTATGTATACCCATGTGCACCCGTCTGCAGGGTTCTGGGAAGGAAGCAAGTCTCTCTCAATGGATGTGCAGACCTCAGGCTGTCATGGAGGGTGGCGGCCAAGACTCAAATCAAGAAAGAGCTTTCTAGCCCAGGGAATATGTGGGAGGCCAGGAGAAACTATATGGAGAAGCTGTTTCAAGAAACTGGAGAAGCTGTAAGGGCAGCCAGAAAGGATTATGGCACCTCATCAGAGAGAAATCAATTAGGAGAGGCTTCACAATGAGAGTTCCTCCCTCCTCCTTCCTCCTCCCAGCCACGATCCACCCAGGGGAACGGGTTAAGTCAAACAGAGATGTCTGGAGACAGAAAGGTTTTTCTGGGTGGAGAAATTCGGCGGCATTTAGATTCGGAAGAGCCAGAGGCTGACTCACTTTGAAATCTGCAGGTATGGAAATCACAGACAGAGGAAACTTGACCTCTCAGTGTCCCGGAGAGCTGAGTATAGAGGCAGGAGGACTGGGGTTGGGGGTCTGAGGATCAGAGGATCCACGTTTTGACATCACCAACAGTCTGACTTCAGGCCTCAGTTTTTCATCTGTAAAATAAGGAAAATAAGACTGGTCCTACTTATTGAGAGCAAGGTTAGCAGATCAAGTAAGAAGATACATGTGAATATGTGGTTTAAAATACTGCAGAAGGCCAGACGCGGTGGCTCATACCTTTAATCCCAGCACTTTGGGAGGCCGAGGCGGGTGGATCACGAGGTCAAGAGATCGAGACCATCCTGGTCAACATGGTGAAACATCGTCTCTACTAAAAATACAAAAAATTAGCTGGGCATGGTGGCGCATGCCTGTAATCCCAGCTACTCAGGAGGCTGAGGCAGGAGAATTGCCTGAACCCAGGAG